AAGTGGAGGGCAAAAATCAACGCCGACTCAGCCACTGACAGCGAGTAAAAAATGAGCGGCACTCCAAAGGACTGCGCGAAACCCATAATGCCCAACAGTGCTTCACGAATGACTTCAATTGATTATATTTCTCCGCGGGCTCCCCCTGGGGGTGGCGCCAGAAGAACACACAGTAACGCCGTGGGGAACTTTCCAATCCAAGCGCTAGGTTTTCGCACGACGCCCGGAAGAAGCACCCGTGTCCGACCCACAAGAAATACTTCATCAATCTCTTCTTCGATGACTTCACCACCGACGCTTGCATCATCGCGTCCGGCTCCTGGACACCGAAACTTCGACCTCATTTCTTTCAACGCCAAAGGCCTTACCAAAAATGACCGGATCGACGAGCTGATGATACAAGTGGAACACATCAAGTGGGACGTCTTGTTACTCACAAAGACGTGGATCAGGGGGACGTAAGACCTGGGTACAGGGGACTCGGAAATCCCCGACGAGGTCGTCAAAAAAATGACGAGGCCGAGCCTGCATTTTGACGAGGCCTCCCGCTGCAGACATCCCACAAAACTCCTCCTCGTCAAAATCCGAGTCGCGGTCGTCAAAAAACGATGGCGAACCCGAGTACTGGCAAACCCGGGTCTTACGCTCCCCCGATAATCGTGCGCAGATCGTGTAAGTTTCTTGATCTTGTACCGGTGAAAGAAAGAATTGCGTATGCTGATATCAGATGCGCATCAAACGTTTTAAGAGCTGTAGTTGCTTACTTCTCAGACTGCACATACAAAGATTCGGAGGTGCAAAAACTCTACACGGCACCTTCTACAATAAAGCTTGCGACCAAAAGAAGCACTATATTCGGGCGTTGGCAGAACTGGGTTTGATGGGACCTGGTTTAAATATTTGTACTTTGGGACTCTGCCGCGCCTCATTCTACTTACCGGAACTGCCATCACCCGAAAAACACCAGCTACGGCAGACTTGGTTTACTGATTCTGGCCAATTTAGGGGCTCCGGGGCCCTACCACTAACCGGGTCCCCTTACCTGGGGTCCTGGCTATACCCGATCTATGTATGATCGGTGGGGATTTTAACGCACAGGTGGGAAGCCGCATTACCGACGATCCTGAAACCATGATTAGACCTCACGGATTTGGTGTTGAACCTTGGCGTGGGCAGTGGCTAAAACAATGGTGTGGGGTGTGGGCAGCTCGACCTCAACATAACCAACGCGTTCTTCTCCAAGCCTCCGGCAAAACGAATCACACATTATTTGAGCAATGGGTCGCCGCGACAGATCGATTTTGTACTTGTCGACAAGTCGAAGAGCCGGTACGTGACCAACTCTGGCTCCAGCACCGTGCCAGATTTGGGGTCAGCCCATAAACCAGTGCGAACTAAATTGAAGTTGTCCTTAAGAAACCACGCGAGAAGAACCAACATCGCTAGAGACACCGCTGGCCAGGATTATCTTACAAAGATGTGTTTGCACGGCATGCCACTGAGCAATTTGAAAAGGTGGCTGGGTCAACGGAGTACGCAACCATTGACCGTTTCAACACTCAGATCAAATCTGCTTTGATGCGCACCAAGAAGTCGCACGCAGAATAATCAAAGCAAGGACGTGTTCAGATGGCAATACTATCCGAAGGGGACGCCGCACTACGAGAACTTGTACAAGAACGACGTGCGACACCAGGTCGCAAAGGCAGCAGTCGCGCACAGCTCAGCAAAGAGATTCGTACCAAAAGGAGGACTACGAAAGCTGCGTCGCGCAGGCAACGCATCAAACACATCTTGGGTAGGTTCGCTGGGCTCAAGAATATCAAGTCTGCAAAGACAAGGAAGAGACGAAAGGTGATTGTTAAGATGGTTGACAGAAACGGGCTCGAACACACGAGCCGCAAAAATATCGCCAATGTGTTCGCCGACTCTTACGCCGATCTTTATGCTACGACACACGTGCTACCAGAACAAGCAGCAGTGCATGATCTTCCAGCGTCATTTGTTCCGCCATTCACCCAAGATGAATGTGAACAAGCTCTCAAGCACCTTAAGACAGGGAAGGCGCCAGATACCATTGGGATTGTTGCAGAGATGCTGAAATTCGATGGTGAAACTGTGCAGCATGCTGTGCTGGACATGTACAACGCTATCATCAAGCCTGGGGCCTCGACTCCGGCCGAACGTAAGCTGACCGTCATGACAGTATTGTTTAAAGATGGGGACCCTACCAGACCATCGAACTATAGACCTATATCGACAATCCCGATTCTTTACAAGTTGTTTGCCAGACTGTTATACCAAAAATTGGAGAAAATCTTGGGTCCGGAGCAACCGTGCGAAAAAGCTGGTTTCCGGCGGGGTTTTGCAACAATCGATCATCTGTTCACTTTGTCGTGCATCCAGGAGAAAGCGGATGAATTCCAGCAAACCGTTTGGCTTTGTGTGCTAGACTTTAAGAAGGCTTTCGATACTGTTGAACACAACTCTCTTTGGGATGCGCCCCGCGGCCAGGATGTCCCGAAAGCATATGTTCAACTTCTTTGTTCTCTCTACACGGGCCAACGAGGACGCGCGGACAGACGTAGTCAGCAACGAGTTCGACATACAGCGTTGGACAAACAGGGCGACCCAATGTCTCTATTGCTGTTCAATGCGTTTCTTGAACACTGCCTCAAACCATACAAAAAAGACTGGGCTAAGAAGAAATACGGCTTACGATTAGATCCCCAGAGCAGCAACAGGCTGAGCAATCTACGTTTCGCTGATGACATAATAGCCGTAACAACAACCCTGCACCATATCAAGGAAATGCTGTCGGGCATCCAGAGGTCCGCCGCAGACGCGGGCTTGTCATTGCACCCGGACAAGACAAAGATATTCACAAATGCGTGTAAGACATCGGGAAGGCAGGCTGCTACATCGGTAAAACTGAATGGCCTGGACATTGAGATCATCTCGGGAACAACCACTATCAAATACTTGGGACGTCTTGTATCTTGCGACAAGCCTTTCGAGGGCGAGCTCAACAATCGAATCTGGAAAGCATGGGCATCGTATGGGATACACAAGCAGGAGCTGACCAACCAAGCTTACCCTCTGAAGGACCGAATCCGACTGCTCAACTCCAGGGTGGCGCCAACGCTATTGATCCGAAGCGAAGTCTGGGCTGTGACACGCGACGTAAAACATAATATCACATGTGTGCAACGGAGAATGCTCAGACAGATGTTAGGGGCAAAGCGGAAAGTTTTATCAAGCGAGGGCGCGCGCAATGATGATTTGCAGCGTGCAGACATAGACAGCAACCCTGAGCCAGAATCGGACGGCACATCGTCAGGAAATCCAGAAGCTGCGCAACTGAAGCCTTGGGCGGACTTCATCCAGAGAGCTACGCGGAAGGCAGAGTAGCAATTACAGGCGGCATGTGTCGATTCGTGGGGGTACCAGCAATGAAGACGCAAATGGCGATGGGCTCTCCGGTTGGCAAACATGGACGCCGAACGGTGGGCTTCGCAAGCGATGTCCTGGGATCCGGTACTAACCTCTAATTCAGCGCGTGGCTTGGCAGGCAGACCGAAAAGACGCTTGGACGACGACAAGGTATCAGCAGCTCAAGACAACGCTGCGCGGTGCAACACGATCTTTGGAACGATCTTGAGGAAAGATTTGTGCTGAAGGAACCGTTCTTTGTTTCACATGATGTCTTGTTTTTCTTGTTGTGACAATGCAGTGACAGCGCATGGTCTCCTCCAATGTGTGGGACTGCGTGTCCCTTTCGCCTGCCCTCTAGAGGACCGCCCCCCGGGCCGGAATGCGGGCCTGTCTGTCTGTCTGTCTGTCTACATGTCGGAAGGCTGTTCTTGTTTCGGACGTTGAGGCCTGTGGGTTGGGTTGGGGTGGTTTGGTGGGCGGTGAGTGTTTACTCGCAGATGGCCAGGATCCGCCGCGGTGGATGCACCGTCCATGACATGCAGGTAGGCTGGTTTTGTCTCGGACGTCTGCGAGTGGGCACTCTGAGAGTAGCGCTCGGTGACCCGAGTGCAAACAAGAATCTCTGAGTGCAATCACCGCTCGGGGAGAGCACGATGAGTTCGATGCCCACACTTGCGAACACTCACCGCCTGGGTTTGGCCACAAAGATGCCATTAAACAACTTTGCAACAACAGCGACCGAACTAGCAATAACCAAATTCCCCCTCCACTCCTAGAGGCCTCCTAGATGCTGTCCGAGTAAATGGGGTCGGGTCGGAGAATCGCGCCGCGTCGCCGACGCTTCGACGATGCACCTGCGACGTCGGCGCTGCATCGGCGACATCGACGTGGAGAACATCGGGCCCCACATCGATTTGCATCGCCAATGCATCGGCGATGCGGCGCGATCCTCCGACCCCATCTGCTCGGGCCCCATCCAGGTGGCCCAGAACTTCCTGGCCTTCTTCCGGCTCCCCCTCTCCAGGAGCGCCTGTTCAATATGAAAGCCAGGAGCGGAGATGGGTCGTGCGAAGTGGTTTCCCAACGCTTGTTGCAAACATGATTTGTCCATACGCGCGCCAGCATAAATTCTTGACGCCAGCGCTGTTCGCAGCGGCGTGAGCAGGGAAAACGAGGATTTGGGACCCCTTAAGGGCCCCAGTTCTGGCCCCAAAATCGGCGCGCCCCCGTGAAACGTCCACTTCGGTACCCCTTTTTGGCCCCAATCGACCGAAACCCCGGACATCGCTCTTATGCACTGCTCCCTGGGGCCGTGGGTCGTCGGTTCTCCAGGCGGTGGACAACGTCTTTCTGGTCGCGAACACCGCGGAACGAAAGGAATCAGGTTCTCGCGTTTGCACTGCAGGTCGCTCAGTCGCCTGTCTGGATGTCCCCCTCCCCAAAAAAACGTCAGCCCGACATGGCCGCAGCCCAAGCCGTCATGTACGACACTGTGGACCATAGCTCGCCTTATCGATTTCCAGGGGCCCCTCGCTTCGTCCAGGGGCCAGCGGGATGGCGCAAGCCTCTCGACTCAACTTTTCGTACTCGCGCTTGAGGTCGCTCAACTGCCGGTCGAGCGTGCGCGGCAGGAGATCGATCTTCGCAGAGACCTGCAGGGCCGACATCTCCTCGCAGAAGGCCTCCACGCTGGCGCGCAGCAGCAGGTGCGGAGAGCCCGGTGACGCTTTGAGCAGCTGCAGCGCCTTCGGCTCCGGCACTATTGAGTCCGCCGGCGGTTCCACGTCGGCCTTGTTCTCGCTCTCGTCAGGCTTTTTGGGGTCTTTGGAACTCTCCAGTGTCTTACCGGCTTCCTGCTCGTCCTGGAACAGAAAGTTAGGAGTGTCCTCCTCGCCGATCAGGCTCAGCTTGCAGTATTCGTTCAGAAGCTTCTTGCGCTCCTTCAGAATAGCCTTACTCTGGTTGATATTGTTTTTCATGGCGTACGTGTACACCAAATGATTCCTTGCAACGATTGTGTCTTTTGTCAACAAGTCGTGCATTTCTCTCTTCGTACGCTGCACTGCTGATTTCGGATCCTCACGATGAACGAGTATACATTTTCGCAAGATTTCGTCCATCCGCTCATCCACAACTTTCACAGCTTCCGTAGCGTCCTCCTTTGCCGCCTCCAGGTCGGCCGTCTTGTCCTCGGTGAGTGTAACTTTCGTGATGCCGAAGACCTTGGCCTGAAGATGCTTGAGCCTATTGGAAAGCTCTGAATTCAAGTACGTCGCTTCAGGATGGAAGCGAGTCCTCAAACTGTTGTAATCGTCAATCAAAGAGACCCGTTCGAGACCAACTTCCTTGGGCTCCTCATCATCAGGCCAATGAACCTTTACAGTTCCTTCTGCCAAACGCTCCGTGGACAGAATCACGAGCTCCTTCACCTCATCTGGAGATGGCTCGATTGGGTTGTTGAAAATATCGCGCTGACCTGAGGTGTCTGGTAAAACCTTGACAACATCGCCTTCACGGAAGATGGCCGGTTGCTTCGAGGCAAGCATCCTCTGCATCGCATCCTGGCGGAAGCAGTCTCGAAGCTGCTGCAGAGCGAGACCCTCCCTCTGGGTGCTCTCGCTGGAGATCTGAGCGTCAAGAAGCCAGGCCATGATGTCCCTTAGCAGTCCCTTCTGTTCGTCTGGTTCTGGGGGGAGTTTGCTCTTGATTTTTTCGACCTGCGTCATGACCTCTGGGATCGCAAGCACCACGATTGTCTGTCCCTTGCCGAACTTACGCATACGCCAGCAGGCTTGCGCGTGGTCTCTCAAAGTCATTCCCTTCCCAAGCGTAGCGACTCCGACGGCATTGGGAACCTGAGGTATGTCTGTACCGGTGCAGTGCACCTGATCGAAAAAAGTAAACCGCTCGTTCGGCTTCAGGCCGCAGGTGGCAAATGGTACACGCTCGCGGCCGTCGGCCATTACCACACACTGATTGTCCTGCACAAGAGAAGAACAAAAACGGCATAAACACAAACTTTGGACGCTCCGCGCGGATTTGTGGAACCTGCGCCGGACCCCCCCCTTCCTGGTGCGCTGCGCGCGCCAGGGGCGGCCCCGGAGGCGCCGCAGGGGGGCCCAGCGCGGATGCAAGAAATCCGCACGACGCCAACAGTTCGTGTTTGTGGAGTTTTGCTTCTTGGAGGCTCTCCTGATCATCCAAATACACGACGCCCTTCACGCCCGCGTCCCGCAACCCTCGGTTCATGAGCTCTCTCGCCACTCCGACGTTGTCGTAACCGGTGATGAGCGCACCGGTGTCGATCAGCGCAGACCACTTCATCGCGACAGCCCGCTCGCTGATGTACTGCAGCAGCGACTCCACGTCCCAAACCTCGAGGAGCAAAAACCTGCACAAACATACGTAACGTCTCGGAGGTCCGCGCGGATGTCTTGGATCTGCGGGTTTCTCAGGTGCCAATCGGTGATCCAAAAATACCGTGCGGAACTCAGAGAACATGTGTTTATGCCGTTTTTGGGGACTCGAGAACCACGCCGGGTTTGTTTGACTTGCCAGCTAAGTGCGCGCTCTTTACCAGCTCTACGGACACGCATTTTCTCGAGGTCAGCGTGCGGATGATCTCGGCGTCGCTCTCGTCCTCGTAAACGCAGCGCTCGCCCTTCTCGTTCTCAAAATCGCGAGGAAGTACCTCGCTGGGCGTGCCAGTGAATCCCAATCGAACGTTGAACAGCATCTTTCCACCCAGATCCATTGAACTGCTGGACAGCCGCATCATCGCGGCACGGGTGCCGGGCCGCTGGGACACCTCCTCCTGGGGATTGATGAAGGCTGTCCTGGCGAAGACGTACTTCTCTAGATAATCCGTGGGCCCCTAAAGGGCGCTGGGCCGTGCAACGCCCTGCTGGACTGCCGTCTTGCTGACATGTTTGTGTCATTGTTCTGTTTCTCATGCTGAGCGGGCTTATTCGCGAGGCCGTGACCTGATCTTGCATAGACGCGCGTGCGGATTGCCTCTGCCGCGCTGCGACGTAAAAAGTTTCTCAGTATGTGTTTCGTTCCCTGTTGCTTGTCTTTGTTGTCCTGTTGCTGTTCCACCGTCTACAAGAAGGGCCTACGGCGCATAGGGAGCCCACTGTACGGCCTCAAAAACAATAGGTTATTGCCTTTTTTTCCTGCCATCCTGAGTTGGGCTATTGTTCCCCATTGTCCTGATTAGGGCTCCTGTTTTCAAAGACCATCCTGTCTTCAACATCGCCCTTCAATCCCCATCACATTCTCCTCACATGATCGTAATCTCCTTTCATATTCTTTCTGACCTGTCCAATCCGGTTATGTACATGTTATTTTTGTTCTGACTCCACCAACCCCACCCACATTCCCCATCCAGAAAAGCCGCGTCCGACCACGCGGGCTATGAATACCGCGTTTTCCATCAGAACTCGTGCCTTCCATCCACACTCCACTTCCCCCCAAGAAAAATGGCCGCGTCCGACCGCGCGGGCAGTGCGAAACCAGTGTCATTCATCCGTGCCGTCATCTCACACCTCGCTTCCCCCCTCCTGGGAGACCGCGTCCGACCTCGCGGGCGATACGAACCTTGTGCTGTTTATCAGGACCCGTGCCCTCCAATCCCTTAATTGGCGCTTTTTCACAATTTACGAAAACTAAAACCCTTCAAAATGGAAACGGCAAAAAAACGGCCCCTGGAGAAAACAACATAAACGGCTCCTGGATTGGAGCCAAGCCGGAACAGGTAAAACACGGCGACGGTTCCGGCAACAAAAGATGCGTCGGAACCGGCAACAAAAGTGACAAGACGGAACCGGTGAAAAAACGGCCCTGAAGCGGCGCTCGCAAAGGCGAGGTCACACAATTTTTTGCACCTGTTGCTCGGTGCATTTTGCTCACAGCATTTCCCACAGATGCTGTAAGGAGTCGCCTATTTGGCTGACGTGGTGAAACCGTGGAGGTAAAAAAGAACAAACCTGCCTTCCAAGCAGGGAGCTGGTGCAAAAGTTAAAGACGAATGTGCGCGGTGCTACGGCGAGAACCACATTCTGAAAACGTCCCACCCTCTGGCCTACGCGTCTGCTGGATTCTTCCTCAAAGCCCGCGCCCGTCCGGAGAACGCGCCCGATCGCGCGGGCAAATTGCGCGCATCAAGTTGTGAACACCCGTCGGCCAGAAGAACCAGGACAAAAACATGAAGTGGCAAGGCGTTGGAAGCAGATTGGGTTTCCGCCCGCCCCCTGAAGGGGAAGGAGGACAACCACTCGATCTTTGAACTAGGAAGGCGCCTCAAGTAGACTGGAATCTGAATGCCTAGAAAAAAACTACTTTCAGTCACTGGCGTGTTGTGCCATGTCATCGAAATGAGGTCGGGCCCGTCACACTTCACCAACCCCACCGTCGTAAATTTGAAGGGGCCCAGGAACACACAAACGCATACGCACAACTCCCAGGATTCCCCGTATTTTCCCCCACATCTTCAGGGTTTTCGTCTTCCTCACCACTTCCCCTATCATTCCATATTGTCCTGGGGATCGACGAGTCATTGTGCCTGCGTGTTTCCTCCCCCACCTGAAAACTGCCCACATCCAAAGAGGTCGCGTCGGACCCTTCGGCGCGCGGGCAGCGCGCGCACAGCTTTTATGGATCAAGGTTCGCACCCTCCCCACTCCACCAGCCCCGCTGGCTCGACGCGTGCCCCTCAAACAAAAACGCGTCGGGCCGCGCGAACGAGCCGCGGGATGCGGCTATCGACCCTCCCTGGCTTAGTCAAGGGCACTTGACATGACCAATCGGTTCCCGAGAGGGGGGGTGCGCCGAGGAATCTCGATGAGAACCCCTGCAAATGCATAGATTCAGCGCGCAGATTCTCTACATAAATTCAACGTGTGTGTGTGTGTGTGTGCGGTGGGGGATAGGGGAATGGGAGTAGTAGGAGTAAGCATGATGCTGGCCAACATGAGTCACAACCAGTGCACTCCTAACAATATACGTTGTGCAAAAGATGCGACTCGGGCTTCAGAGCGACGGATGGGAAAAAACAACTATCTCAACTGAAGAGAAGTGTTCCAACTTGGGAATGACGAGCTGTCCCACGCGAAGTGAGACATCTGCTGAGAACGACAAATTATATCAAGTCCTGGTGTCCTGGTGTGGGTGGGGGGCGCTCCCGCGAACGCGGCGCAAAAAGTGCGAAGTCCGCCAGAGTTGCGATGCCCTCGGGGGAAGGATGGGGGAAAAGGAAAGTGGACGAGGATGATAATGCACATGAAGAAGGGGGGAGGGATGGGGAAGAAGGGGGGAAGAGGAAGGTGCGGATGAGGAAGAGCGGAGGGAGGAGGACAACGAGGTAAGGAGGATGCAAATGAGAACGATGATCGGAGCAGGGTGGAAGGTGAGCACGAGGAGAGGATGAACGACGACGATGAGCGTGAGGGGAAACAAATATTTAAGGGGGAAGAAGAAAGCGGCAGCATGGGCAACACCCGGAGGGCCGAGACACGCTCCAAGAAGGCAACCGACAGGGGAGAACACAGATGACGTGTATGTGCATGAGATGCTAATCGCTTGTTGTTTTACCAAGATGTCCTAATATAGAGTTCAGACGGCCCCAACAGGCCACAAAGATCAGCCAAGACGGCCTCACGTTGGCCTCCAGAAGCTCCAAGAAGCTAAGACAACCAAGAAGATGGTCCCAAAAGGCTTGAAGTGGCCCTTGGATGCCCCCAGTAGTCCCCAATGTGGCCCCTAGAGGCCCCAAGCCAGCCCCAGTATTGTCCAAGATAGCCCCAGAGGGTGGTCCAATCAGCCACCAAGAGGTTATTACTTAGACGACCCAGCAACTTCCCAGGGACGCCCCCAAGAGGTCCCAAGATACTTCCAAACTGTCTCCGCATGGGGCTGGTAAACCAAGGGCGCAGCCAAGCAGATAATTTCGGACCGTCGGCGAATCCTTCAACAGCTCCTGGAGCTGGCTAAGCTGTTCCAATTCGTTTGGCTGGAAAAGGTCCAGCGACAGGACCTCAAACTTGTGGTTTCTGTTCTTCGCCTCCTCGATCCAGTCCTGGAACACCTTCCAGTGAGCCCTGATACTGAACGGCCCTGGCTCCTTCTTCATCTCCTCCTTCAACAACATCACGAGGATGTGGAACATGAACCTCCGGAGACCCTCGTAGTGGTAAGCCAGGTAAGTCAGTCCGATCGCGACGTCGGGAGAGGCGAACTCGGCAGCTTGAGAAGGTCGATCCTTGCCAGTGAATGGCACTGCCATCACCTGCCTGCTGGCCTGTTCGACAGTGGCGACCACCTTGTTCTCCGCGTCTGCTGCGATGAGGAGCCCGTAGTCGATTCGGTTCCTCTTGCTGAGGCAATGCACAAGGAGCGCGCAGATCCACTCTCTGCACTTGTTTAGGACGCGCTTGCTGTGGTCAGTGAGAGCCCAGGACACAACCAGCTCGCACGCCCTATGCTGCTCGATGTCGCTCCCCATGGCGCCGATGTAGAGGAGGAGGGTGTCCTTGTTCTCTCGCCACCACGCGTCCCAACGACGGTTCGCGTCGTCGATATGATGTTTCTGCTCCCTGAGGTTTGTCGCCACATTGTCAGAGGCGCCATTCCCTTCCGAAAGTTGTCGGTCGACAGACAGGTCGTCAGAGATGGACTGTCCAACGTGGACACTCTCGACTATAAAATCGACGGTCTCCTTCCTGAAGAGATGGTAGCAGACCGGCTGGAGATCCTTCAGCACGTGCTTCACAAGCTCTGGGTCCCCCTTGAGGTAACGCTGCAGGAAGACGAGGGCCCACTTGCCCATGGGCAGCCGCAACTTCTCCCTGTACCAGTCTTTGGACATGATCACCAGGTTGGGGCTGCGCTGCACCGCGGAGTCTGCAATGCCCGAGGAGACAGCAGCCAAGATCTCGCTGGCTGCCACCGCGGATTCCTCATCCTTGGCAGCGTCCATGGGCTTCGTGCCGTTTGCAGCTGCCACGAGCGCCTGCAGCAAGAACATGGGGAGGGTGTAGCGCTGCGGAGAAGGCTGGAGGGGCTCCAAATTGCCGATGGGGAAGTTGAGCTCGCTCTTGAGAGGGTGCAACACCAAATCCACCTCGTCGATCACGGCGATGCACTTCTGCTTCCAAAATGTCAACACCCGCGCCATCTCGTCCGAGACCCGCTCGCGCTCCCTGAACCACCCCAGCACCTGGCCCAAAGATTTACCCCACTTCTGCTTCTTCAGCTCCGAGCCGGGAAGAGTGAGGGCAGGATCAACCTTTGCAGCGTCCACCATCGCGCTCACGTACTGCAGAAAAAACGTCTTGACGCAGCTGGGCGTAGTGATGAAGCAGCCCTGATCCTGAGCAGCCCGCTCCATGGTCTGGCGGACAGTGGCCACTTTATCAGCCACAGGGGTCGACTCGCTGGAAGTGTCCATCCTTGAAGGGGCCCAAGGACACACACACACACACAAATAAATGCACACAAATACAAAGCTTCCCCATATATTCTCATATTTTCTAGGGGTTTGTCTTCCCCCCTACTTCCCGTCTTTTCCTGGGGATCGACGACTCATTGTGTGGGTGTGCTTTTTCTCCTCCTGGATCCTCTCCCTCCTCCAGGAGAAATAGTACACGCGGCGGGCGAGCACGGAGCCGAGGATGCCCGTGAGGCAGTTCCGCGACATCGGCAGCAGCGCCTCGGGGCAGATCACCATGACCAGGCGGTCCCCGTCTGCGAGCATGAGGCTGAGGAGCGGGCCTATTGGAAGTAGAATAAGCACTCGCCATCGCTCGGACGTCCATTCCCTGTGCTTTGTTCGGTTTCGTGCGTGGGTTCTTCGCCAAATGATCAAGGATGCTCCTCGATGGTCCTCGCCGAAGGAAAAATGCACACGTCCGAGCGATGCCAAGGAATAAGCAACATGAACAGAAATTGTTGGCGCTCCGCGCGGATTTCTTGGATTCGCGCTGGACCCCTCTCCTTGGCGCGCGCAGCGCGCCAGGGGCGGCGCCAGAGGCGCCGCCGGGGGGCCCGGGCGCGGATCCCAGAAATAATATCTCGACCTTGCGTGTTTGTGCTTTTCGGAAGCGGCCAAGTGGGGGGTGTCCAAGAGGGGGGGGTGCAAATCATTACAGGCGGCATGTACGCGGCCCAGCGGGGGGGCCAGGGACGTAATGAAATAAGAAGAGGCACCATGAAATCTGGGGGAATATCTCGACCTTATGTGTATGTGTTTTCCTCTTCTAGAGGACCAAGAAATGGCATAAACATAAAAACTCGGAGGTCCGCGCGGATTTCTCGGATCGGCGCTGGACCCCCCTCCCTGGCGCGCGGAGCGCGCCAGGGGCGGCGCTGGAGTCGCCGCCGGGGGGCCCCAGCGCCGATCCATGAAATCCGCGCGGACCTCCGAGTTTTCGTGTTTATGCCACTTTTTGTTCCCCTATTCTTCGACCTATGATAGTCGACTTCCCAGCCCCCATGATCATCTGCTGCACCACCGACTTGTGGGCGACCGCGTCCTGGGCCAGGCTGCGGGAGATGTCGAACTGCCGCTGGCGCAGCAAGAACCCCGTGTGGTATTCTACCAGCAGGCTACGGACGTCAGAACAGAAGCAAAACCGCACTAGCACAGGCCTTCAGATTTTCACGCGGATCTCCTAGAACGGCGCTGGGCCCCCCCCCGCCTGGGCACGCGGTGCGTGCCGGGGAAACCCGGCGCCGACCCCCAGAGAGCTCCGCAAGGACCTCTGACAGCGTCTGCACATGCAGCGTGCTCCTCTTCGAGATGTCGCACTTGAAGCTTGTGCCCTGCTGGTAGGCAAAAAACGTACCCCTAACCCATTGGGAGGGGGACCTGAGTCAGGAGGGCCAGACACATCAGGGATATGGGGGTCTTCTCGGCGCCTGCATCAGACCAAACCGACCAGATCGAATTCCCCCCACTGCGAATAGAAGAAACAATGGCATAAACAGAAACTTTCGACGGTAGGCGCGGACTTCTTGGATCTGAGCGGAGCGCGCCAGGGGCGGCGCTGGAGGCGCCGCCAGGTGGTCCTGCGCGCCGATCCAAGACATCCGCGCGGACCGCCGAAAGTTTATGTTTATGTAGTTTTTGTTGTTGTTGTTTTTTTTTTTTGTTTTCTGGGACCTTAGTGAGGCCACGTCTTCATCGTGATATTTAGAACCTCCTGGATGGGGTCGGCGTAAATGACGCGTCGCCGATACACCGGCGATGCATCGGCGATGCATCGGCGATGCACCGGCGATGCATCGTCGACGTCGGCGATGCATCGGTGACGTCGACGTGAAGCACACCAGGCTGCACATCGACAAGCATCGGCGATGCATCGGCAATGCGGCGCGATCATTCGACCCAATCTCCTCCGACCCCATCTGGGAGGCGAGGCCTCGAATATCAGGGTTAGGTCGGGCCTGTCCCTCTACAGGCGGATTTTGGACGAGAACAGAAATACTCAAACAAGATTCCCGGAATGCAAACAAACAGTCGAAAATCCGTCCCCAGGCTATCTTTTAACTACTTCTGAATACTCCTCCTGTAAAGGGCCGCGCCCGACGTAATGTTGGGTTTGGGGGCGCCGTTGCCCTCGATGGCCTGCCACTCCCCGTGGACGCGCCTGGCCCCCAGCGAGTCGAAGAGGCCATCCGCCGCGCGGAGCAGCTCGCCCAGGAGCGCGTGCAGGTCGTCCTTGTCCTCATCCCCGACCTCGCACCTCGGCGGCGCGCGGCGAAGGGGGGATCCTGGGGCTCCTGGAGAGGATCGGCGTTGGACAAACCTCCCTTCAGTAAACCTCCATGGAGTGAAAACGGCCTAGGACCGAAACCGACGGGCCTGGACCCGCAAGAATGACGGCCGCGACGCCCTCTCGCGAAGCGCAAACGGCCAGTTCGCCAATCGACGCGTCAGGGTAGGAGGTCGATCAACCTCCGAAAGGAAGGGGGGGGGGGGGCAGGGGGGGGAGGGGGGTAGGAGGTGGGGGGGGGGGGGTGAAGGGGGGGAGGAGAGGGGCGTTCTCCTCGGGTGGGGGCGAGGCCCGAGTCTTGTGCAGGGGGAGCCGAGAAACTCGGCAGGAGCCGACGCGCTCGGAGGTCTGCACGGATCTTCTTAGATCCGCGCTGGACCTCCGGCGCGCGGGACCTCGCCCTCCCCGGGCGCGCGGACCGCGCCAGGGACGGCGCCGGAGTCGCAGCCAGGGAGTCCCGGCGCAGATCCGCGGACTCCGCGCCTTGCGTCGAAAGTCTGTGTGTTGTGCCGTTTCATCCTCGATCTTGGGGACTCGGGTTTGCCTGCTGGGGCCGTCAGGAAAACACATGGGGCCAAGCTTGAAATCTGACGCGAGACATGTGACGAGAACCCGAGTCAAAACTCCGGGACATTCCAAAACCGATGGCAAAACCGAATTCTGGCGAACTCGAGTCTTTCGTGCCTCTGGTCTTACGAGAGAAAGGCTCTTGGGCTTCTAAGAAGGCTTCTCAAATTACTGCGGTGGTAGAATCCCGCATAATGATATGTTTAGCTCGCTCGGAAATATATTTTTCTCCTACCCCTTCCTGCCTTCTCCTTCTGCTTTTGCCCGCGCCCCTGCGTCGTCCTCCTCCTTTTCTTCGTGAATCCTCCTCCGAATCCAAAGCAATGGATGTCCAGACTATTGAGATCACTTCAAGACTTCAAGCATCTAATGTGTCCTGGTTCGCTGAACGATGCTCAACAATCCTAATCCTCATGCTCCTCCTCTTTCTGCCTCCTGGTCCTCCTCCTCCTCATCTTCCTCCTCCTCATGCATCCCCCTGTGTCCATCTTGAGCAGCCTCCTCCTGGGGCAGCTTTGGGCACCTTGGGGCTCCCGAAGCCTCCTGGGGCCATCTGGGGCAAACTCCTCCTGTTCTCCTCCTGTCCCCGCTCGGATTAGTACGGCACTACAGGGAGGGGGATCCCGCTCGAGACTTCCTTTCAGTCGGGCGTGTCCCCGTACAGGGGATTTCCAGCGAAACAAATACTCCAAAATACTCTCAAATGGTCAACAAATATTTAAAAATAGTCCCCAGACTATTTTTTTACTATTTTTTAATATTCCCCCTGCTGAGTGACAGGCTCGACTTAAGACTTCCTCACAATTCACTCAGACACGAGGCTCCCGCTCGAGAGGTCCTCAAGACGAGTGGGAATGTGTGAGTGTGCAACCGAGCGGAAGTGAGATGATGATGGCCGATGATCATGGAGGGATTACGATGGTAATGATGAAAAGCGGTGTGATTGTGGTGCTTGGTGTGAAAGAGGGGGGGGGGGTGTGAGGAGGTGTACGTGTGTGAAGTGTCAGGGCTGCGCGGGGGGTCCAGAGAAAACAGGAACCTCAACTAGGATGTGGAGAAATTCATGCGAGCCCAACGCCGTGTCTTTGTTGCGTGGGTCCCCAGACGCCTCGACCCAAGCCTCGGGACCGGCTGTTCATCCTTCGCAGTTGCTCGACGGTCCCCCGGCCCAGAAAGGGTCCCAAAAACCGCACACTGCCCGATCTGGCCGCCGTTTGTTTCCACGGCGCTCGAAACGGCATGACAGTGTTTTCCACCCTTTCCGACAACGTCTCTTGAAAATGGCAACGGCGCAAAAAACGGCGATCAAAAACGGCAGAAAAATTGCTCGAGGATTGGAACCAGAGCTGGAACCAGCAACAAAAACGGTGACAGAACCGGCAAAAAAAAACGGCGTCGGAACCGGTGACAAAAACGGCAAGACGGAAGCGGCCCAAAAAAACGGCCCTGTCATTTCCAGGGCCCACGACCTCGCGCCATCCCCGTCCGCCATGTTTCTTCACGGCGCTCGGACCCCTGGTGGCTTCCCAGAAGGCGACTCTCCCTTAGGAGGCAACTACTGGGAGGTCCCCGTCGGAAGGCTCAAGGAGAACTGAGCCTCATTTGGGGGCTGCTACGTCGGATTAGGCCGCGGACCAAGCGGGAATAGGCCGGATTACGCGGGACCCAGCCAGACTGCGCCGGAGTAAGCTGATGGGCCTGTTTTCCACCACAACCACCATAAGTTGGAGGGGGATGGGGCCCTCCTCCTCCTCGTCCTCCTCCAGCTTATGGTGGTGATGGTGGTGGAAAACAGGCCCATCATAAGCGGAACGTCGGACCGGGGCAGAGACAGACCTTGACCTCCCAGGAGCTGCATCCGAATCTCCCCCTCGCGCCCTCCCCTTTGCTTTAGGTCGGGCGTGTCCCCCTACAGGCGGATTTTGGACGAAAAATGGAAATAGTATGAAACAAATGAAAAAATGCTCCAAAATTGTCAAAACATCGCCCCCAGACTATTTGTTGACTAATTTTGAAGATCACACCTGTAGAGGGACAGGCCCGACCTAACCAATGCAGTGCGCCGCCCAGGTACTGTTCCTGGAGCCTGCTCAAGACCCCCCTCCTCCTCCTCCTCCTCCTCCTCCTCCTCCTGCTCCTCCTCCTCCTCCTCCTCGTCATCCTCCTCCTTCTCCTCCTCCTCCTCCTCCATTCCTTCTCCTTCTAGATAACCCCTCCCTGTCGCACCCCGACGTCAGTTTTTAGGGCGGGCCAGGCGTTTTGACTGAGACTTTCTCACCACTTGCGCTTCTGAAGCTTCGAAGTTTCACAAATGAAGGGCGGGTCGCTTCCAGAATGTGGCTGTCGCCTTAGCGCCGCGCGCGCTCGTCTTACAACATCGCAAATCGTTTCACGGATTGAGGGCGGGTGGTTTTCAAAATGTGGCTCTCGCCTTAGCGCTCCGCTCATTCGTCTTTAAAAACTGCAAGAGTTTCACGGATTGAAGGGCGGCCCCTTTTTCAAAACGCGGCTGTCGTTTCAGCGCCGCGCGTATTCGTTTTATAAATTTGCAAGAGCTTCATGGATTGAGGGCGGGTCGTTTTCAAAATATGGCTCTCGCCATAGCGCCGCGCACATTCGTTTTAAACAGTTGCGAAAGTTGCACGGGTTCCCGTGATCAGCGCACCACAACTCGTGTTTTGGATAATTTTCAGACTATGCGGGCGCAGCAGTTCTGTTCATTCGCTGTGCTGAAATCCCAAAGATGGCGTTGCGGCACGGTTCTGGATGGTCAAGACGCAATAACGTGGCGTTGAATCCAGAGAACAATATTTGGGCGCGTTTCAGGATCTTCAAACTGTTGTCTTCCAGCGAGGCAGATCCCTCGATGGAAATGAACCGTTGTATGGGGGCTTGGGATGAAAGAGTGTGGACGGACGGTTAATTCCAACATCGCCGATGATTGTTGGGTTTCCACTGGTTGTTTCCCTCCTCCTCCTCATCCCGCTGCTGCTGCTGCTGGTGGCGGTCAACATGTTTGTCGCCATGCAAACCTGTCCAACCCATCCCACCCAGCAAACACCAGGGCGGGAAATGGGGGCCCATTGGGGAAAAGGGGAGAGTACGGTAGAGAACGACCGACCACAAACAATGAGGTGGGGGAAGTGGGAGGCGCCTGATGTAGAATCATACCGGCGGATGGCCAAAACGACCCAAGGGCGACAAGGTAAGCCCCAAGAGGCGGATGCGGGAGAACGAGGCGAAGAGAGAGAAGGGGAACGGGAGAGAGAAGGAGAGAGAAAGGGGTTCGCCTCCGGGCCCTTGAGATGGCTGGGTCGCTGCGACGCGGGGCGGGCGAAAGAAGGAATGTCCCGCTGCTGCTGCAGCTCAAGAAAAAAGTAGAAGGAGAGGGGCAGGGGGGCGGCGGAGGTGGGCGGGCAGGTGGGCGCGCGGGTTCGAAGCAAAGACGCGAATCTAGGGGCGGCATTCGTGCCGCGCGCGTCGTCGTGGCGGAGGTAAGGAGGGATCGTACAGAAAGGGGAGGTGGGGCAACCGCGGCCACAGCGACGGTCGGGGAACAGCGGCGGCTGCGGTTGCGGGGCGCGAGGTCGAGCAAACGCGAAGGGCGACGGCACCAGGACATGAGGGTAGGGAAGCATGAGAGATGATCATGAAAAAGGAGGTTGAGGTCCTGGTGCCAAGGGGTCGACTGGGAAGCTGCGGCTCGCATGCGCTTTGGGCGGAGGCAGAGGGCCGCAGTGGCAAGCTCGCTTGGAGGCCCTAGCAGTAGGGTCGCTCTTTTGGAGTGGGGGGATGACCAGTCGACCCTCCTGTAAAAGTTCAAGGCTGCGCTGGACTGAACAATTGAGAGAATAATCGCAGGCAGACATGGCATTGCGACGGACTGGAGACATAACAAATGAACAGAATATGTACTAGTAGATATGTCAGTGCGATCTGGAGGCCGGGTGGAAAATAGCGCGCCGCAGAACGCCCCCCCCCCCCCCCCCCCCCCCCCCCGCGATCTCCGAACCAACCGCCCCGACCACAAGAGGGGGGGGGTGAAGGTCAGCAGGGCACGGCGCGATGACCACGGAGGTGGTGATGGTTGGGGGAGGGGGGCGGGCGCAGATCTCGAGATTGATGTAGGCGGCGCAGTTGGAGCGCCGCGGCGCCCCAAGTATTGTTGCCATATGTCCGCGCGCTGCCGCATATGAGGAAGGCGAGCGCAAGGTGCGCACGGAGATAAAGGGAGGGCACGGTCAGCCGCTGCAAGGTCGGTCCGCCCCTGACGAGTGGCCTCGGCGCAGCGGCGTCCAGGTGAGATGGCCCCGGTTCGCTCGGAGGGGGTCAGCGCGCGAGTTGCGCAGCAAGTCAGGGCGTGAGCAGGACAGGTCGGTTGGAGCGAAGGTCGGAGGTTGGAAGGGCGTGGCGTTTGGCTGCGACGGCGTCGGGCGCGCGGGCACCTCGTTCGGCCGCCCAGGCCTGCGCGGGTTACGGCGAGAATGGCAACCGCCGTCGTTTAGGGGCCTAGGCGGATGAACTTGGGCGCGAGTTTTTGCCGCGGTGATCTCCTCCTAGATGTCGAGGGCCCGGCTGTGGCTGACGCGTTTTTCCCCTGCCGTCGCGGCGGGGGTGTGGAGCTTATCCTGGGTGTCGTTGCGTTGGGAGCGGTACTCGGTGATGGTAAATGATATCAGACCTTGTTCGATGCTCTGCATGTTATTGGTCTGAGTGAAGGTGCCCCGTGTACATAGGTCGTTGTTGCTAATAAAGAATGCTGAGGATTGCGACCTCGTCGCCATCGTTCGCCGTGATGGTGCCGCGCGCGATGGAGTCCTCCAGCTTGATGTGGGACGAGTGGCGCGTGGTTTCTCTCGTCGGGAAGGTGATCGTGTCGGGATTGACCTTCTCGTGTGTGATCGTCGCGCTGGGGGGCCATCCAGTGAGCTTCTGTGGTTCGACCTCAGCGGCAGGTGGTTGGTTGTCATTTGCTTCTGGTGTGCTGTCGCTGGAAGTCGGGTCGGAGCTGCTTGGTTCGGTAGTATGTGTCGCTCCCCTGAATATTGCTCCTGCTGCGTGGTCTTGCCTTCGTAGTCACTCATTTGAGTGGGCTGTTCTGCGATGTTTTCTCTGGCTGTCGGCGGGGTAGGCGGGGCTTTGTATATCGCTGGCTTCGCTGCTGAGATAGGCCCGCCATGAAAGATTGGCTGGCGCTCTTGGTTTGGGGTCGTTTGTGGGGGCGTGGTTGCCGGCGTCGTGCTAGTGGTTGCGTCGCCACTACTCGTAGGTGTTTCGTTGTTCGATTGGTGGGCTGTTGTGTTTTCATCGGTCAGGTTTGTAGCTTCGTTATTGTGCATTGTCGCTCCCTGTGGGGCCGGCTCTCGCGTCGGTGATATCTCGATGTGCATATCGCGCTCGAAGGTGCTGCGGTCGTCGCATGGTGCAAGTATTGGCGCGGGGATGCGCAGCTGCTTGATGCGATGGATGATGCGGCTTGTGAGCGGAGGGCGTGGGCCTCCCTCTAGTGCGCGTGCGACCTCGAGCATGTTGTAGCCGAAGATGGGGAATGGCTTGGAGCCTGGTTGACCTTGAGGTGGGGGGAGCAGGTGCCGCCTGCGAGGAAGCTGTACCATAGATGTGCTCGATCAACCCATTCGTGTGCTTCTTCTTCCTGTCAGTATTGGGCCCTGTCTGTCGAGTAGGTCGTGGATGTTTTGCGTCATAGATTGGTCGACCTGCTCACGTTTGCCGGGGCGCTCTGGCATTGGGGGGTGGTCGTTGAGGGAAGGGGGGTGCATCGGCTTGAGGCTGTGGTAGAAGCAGCTGTCCTTGTTGGTGCTGAAGGCCTCGACGCTCTGGTCGGTTAGCTGCCGGGCGCAGCATGGATCGTAGTTGACGTCGCCCGGGAAATTCCACTGAGCGATGCCTGTCTGCAAGGTTGTGGTCGTAGGCGAGGCCCCTGTTTACGTCAGCGTGGGCTTGCCAGCTTGGCGGCAGCATCTCGTAATGCGATGGGTCGGGTCGCAGCGTCTCCTTGTTTGTAGTTTGGCGGGGTACATGGGTTGCGGAAGTATCGGTCGGTCGGTGTCGTTGTGGTTTGTAGAGGGGCTCTGCCTGGGGGTGGTCCACTGTGGAATCGTGCATGTTGGTCGCTGTACCTGTTGTGGTGTAACTTCTGGGAAGGCCGTTTTCCAGTCGGGGAAGAAGCTCTGGGTCCAGCTGATGGGCTGAATCCCTGCACTGCGTAGTTTCTGGAGGTGTCGAAGCAAATCGCGCGGGCTGTAGTTATCCTCGCCTTCGATGAGGTGCTGTCTTGGTTTGTGGGCGTCTTGCTCAGGTAATTGGTCGACGTCGTTGACCTTTTTTTATCCTTATGGTGCCGCCCAGCAGGATGTCGGCAGGTCGCTTGTATTATGGTGCCTCCTCCCCCTCCTCCTTCTCCCCCTCCTCCTCATCGTCGTCGTCGCGCGCCCCGAGGCGCCAAGGGCACTCCACGAGTTCACAAATAAGAAGATTGCCGTGGCAAGTCTACCTCTGAAACAGAGAGTCAAACACACAACACTTTATGGTTGGCCTTCCTTAAAGCATTGTGGGCAACATGCGCGAGAAGGTATGGAGACACGGTCAACATACGTAGTGCGGCATTCAATGAGTACCACGAAAGAACTACACTGCGTGGCGGCACATGGCAGGTCTACCTCGGGAGACTCAGAAGCGGGTCCACGGCAGAATGCACGTCTCATCGACACAGCAAGTGAGGGCACGAAGAAATGGATGATAAAAGGTCCAACCGATCACAAAGACAATACACTGCAGCGGAGCATTGATTAATCAACATACAAAGGTAAACGTCGCCCACGGAGACCAATATGATTGCGACAACATATACATTGACAGAGTCACTCAGCTTCCCATGCCCACTTGCAGCAGCAACGGCGACACACACGAGGCGAACACCCGCAGCAGGAGACAACGGCTACTCCTGCTTGCACGAAGCGTCGGTCGGCGGCCCGATCCAGGGACCCCACTGAACTTGGCGTCGCCGAGCCGCTGTTGTCGCCGAACAAACGGGCGCCCTGTGGATGAGCACGCAGCGGCCGCCCACTGCTCCATCTCCACGAGACGCTCGTGGATGTACACGATCTCGCCGTCCCGCACGGCCGCCTCGGCCCAAGCAGCAGGGCAGTCATCCCCCGCAGGGGCCCGAATGTCCCGCGCGGCCGCCGCGGCCCCAGCAGCCGGGCAGCGGACCCCCGCAGGGGCCCGAATGCACATCTGCTCGTGGAGCCCCTTCAGCGGCACAGCGCACTCCGCTTCGGCTCGGAGCACGAACGGTTTCGCCAGAAACCGCGGAGTCCCCGTTCCACGTGGCGGCCCTCCAGCACGGCGCTCAGCGTGTGGTGGTACGGCGACAGACGAGAAAACGATCGCACCACGCGTGCACCGCGTACCAGGAGCCTGGGAAGCAGGCTGAAAGGCTGCCGCCAACTCCATCTCGCCCTCCCCGCTCTCCTCCGTGACGGCGTCCACGGGGAAGGGGTGGGGGAAGGGGGCGATTGCTGGCGCCCTGTGCGCATCCGCATGCAGCAAATCCTTATGGCCCCCAGGCCGCCGCTGGATGGCGTTCAGCTCGGACTGCGAAGCCTTCTCGATGGTCGTGGCAGGCGTTTCGAAGTCGTGCGAGGCGATGTTACGCCGAGCCCTCGCCACTCCCGACACCTTCGATCCCGAAAGGCCAGCCGCCAGCACAGGAATACTCAGCTTGAGCCTGGCCTGCAACTCGGCATGCAAGTCCTCGCAGATCGACACGCCGAAAATCATGGAGGGGATATCCGAGTTCAGGGCCACAACTAGGGAATGCGCCTCCTCCAGCTGGCGGCTCAATCGCCGAATTGCAGCATCCGCGCTCTCCTTTGCTCTCCTCGCGGCGGCGGAACGCGCCGCACGACTCCTCCTAGGATCGCCCGACTGGCAACCCTGCCCGTAGTCTTCAGCATCAACAACGCAACGCTCGCCACCAAACCCTCGGGCCGAGGGAACCATCACCATGCCGGCTTGAACAAAGGGGTTTTCGCTCGCTGCGGAGCGGCATGAGCCAAAATGGTTACGGTCCTCCTCCTCCTCCTCCTCCTCCTCCTCCTCCTCCTCCTCCTCTTCCTCCTCCTCCTCCTCCTCCCTCCTCCTCCTCCTCCTCTTCCTCCTCCTCCTCCTCGTCCTCCTCCTCCTTCTCCTCCTCCTCCCCCTTTGCACGGCGCCGCCCGGGCACCGCTCCTGGAGCCTGTTCAGCACCTCCCTGCCCTCGGCCCCTGCCTTCGCCTCCAGGAGCTGCTCCACGCGGGGCCACGCCTTGTGTTACGATTGGGTCGGGCCTGTCCCCCTACAGGCGGATTTCGGACAACAAATCAAAAATACGAAAAAGAAATTCCCAGAATGCTCAAAAATATTCAAAAAGTCGTCCCCCGAATACTTTTTGAGTATTCCTGAACACTCCTCCTGTAGAGGGACAGGCCTGACTTCATGTTATGTTACTCCCTTTGTACTTACGGACCACATCCCAAAAAATCACTTCGAACGCCCAGAAAAATGTGCCGAACATGTGTCGAACGAGCATCGCCTCCCAGGGCCCGACACGTGAGAACCCTCCAATTTCGGTACGTTCCTGGTGCTCGGGATTCTTTCTGGCGATCCAGGCTAAAGTCGGGTCAGGCGAAAGGGGGGAATAGCAAAGGGGGGGTTGGAGAATCAGCTCACGTAGCTGATTTTCCCAGCGCCTCCCGGCGCCGGAGGCGGCTACGTATCGAGGACTGGGCCCCTCGGTGAGTCCGAAACCAGCTGCATGCAGCAAATTTCGCAACCCCCCCTTTCCTAGTCCCCCCCTTTCGCCCGGCCCGATAACAGGCCTCGTGGCTGTCCGACGCGCACCGGAGGGCGCGCACGAGCCAGCCGACGAACTGGCCGTGGAGATCCTTCGGGGCGCGTCAGCCGCACGTCGATGGCCGCGAAGGGTCTTCGCTGAGCATGCTCTTAGGGTGGAGAGCTGAGAGCGACATCCATATTCACCAGCCAAAGTGAGGACAATCTTAGGGATAGGCCCTCAGAAACCGAGGGAATCCTTAAGATCGGCATCGAGGTGAGGTGATGTCAAACATAGGGATAAGTATATGCTCCAAACTGGTGACATATGGGCTTCTGCACCTCGAAAGACAGTCCGTCTTGTGATTCATCTTTTGCGATCCGAGCCTCGAAGATCAATCGAGACGGCATTTCAGATTGCACACGTTGCCCTCCACCTAAAGAAAATGCTCGGCTTCAGAACCCCGCCCCCCAAGAGTCGGGAGCGGCCAAGAGGGGGGCGTCCAAGAGGGGGGGTGCAAATCATGGCCGGCGGCATGTGAAACAAGAAGAGACGCCATGAAATCTCGGGTAATATCCTGGCCCCCGCCATGATATCCACCCCCCCCTGGTCATCACCCCCCTCTTTGCCTCCCCCGACAATAGGCGGTGACTGATTCTTTTGCGGCGGCCTTCTGGAAGGACTGGGGTCCCACCAAGAGGGGGTCACAAACGAGTGCGTTCCGCGGCAGGGGGATGGAGGACACGAGGCGGAACGGGGGGAGAACGAGGAGGAGGAGCAGGCGGAGAAGGAGGAGCAGGAGAAGGGAGAGGAGGAGGAGGAGGAGTAGGAGGAGGAGGAGGAAGATGAGGAGGGGGAGGAGGTGAAGGAAGAGGAGGAGGAGGAGGAGGAGGAGGTTTTAGGACCAGTCCTACTCACCGCCGAGTGAAAAGGAGGGGGGGACGAAAAAACAGAAGACCCTCAGGGGTTACCGATCCTGGCCGGGCCCCTTCTGGACCCAAGACTGGTGCCTACGTTTAGGTCGGGCGTGTCCTCCTACGGGCGGACTCTGGAAGATCAATGAAAACTGGTCAAACCATATCACCAAACGTGACAAAAAAATCGCCGCCATATGTTCTTCCACTTGTTCTGAATACCCCTCCCGCAGGGGGTCATGCCCGACTTCAGCTTACGCCCTCCCGAGGTCGGCAGCTGCATCCCCCCCGGGGTCCCGGCCTGGACTGGCCAAGCTCGGCTCGGAGGTGCCGCTGGCGCCCTCCAGAGGCCCCAAGAGGCCCCCAGGAGGCCCCAAAGAGACCCCCTACCCCCCAAGGGGGCCCCCAAGAGGCTTCTCGGCCGCCCTCGACGAGGCTCCCGAGAGGCTCCCCTCGAGGTGCCAACGAACATCCAAGATCCAAGAGGCCTCTCACACACAGCCCGGGCATCCTGGCTGAGGGCCGCGCAGAGATCCAGCTGGGCGACGCGCACGCTGCGAAGCATCAGCAGGCCGAGCGCCGCAGCCAGGCTCTCCGCCTTGCCGTCCTGGAGCTGGGTGAGCCTGGCCAGGTCCTGGACGGCGCGCGTGGAGAAGAGGGTCGCGAGCAGCATCCGCGGGGGGCAGCTGTTGTTGGGGAAGGCGAAGTGGGCCCTCAGCCTCGACCAGGCCGCGTCCATCTGCTCGCGCTCGCTCCGCAGCCTGTCCATCAACCTGCGCTTCACAGTGGTCATGGCGTGTAGACTGGCCCCCGCCGCCAGCCCGCCGTCGAGGATGTCGTTGGGCTGCCCGCCAAGCACGCCCGCCAAGGCTTTGCAGAGAAGGGGCACCTTGCGGAAAGCTTCGCGGTTGTCCTCCTTGTTGTCCTCCTTCTTCTCCGAAGGGCCGGCGGTCAATTTGGCGACCTCGGCGCCCAGCCGTTCCAAGTATGGAGTGCCCTCCGGCGACAAGATCCCCACCAGGACTCGGGGGTCGAACGAGGCTGGCTCCTGCGTCTTGCGACTGCCGACCTCCTCCACGGTGTACTGCAGATCCTGGACGAACGGTCCCAGCGGGGCGATGGACAGAGCCCTGAGCTCCTGTTCGACTTTACAAGATACATCTCGTCGTCCTCCCCGTCATTCTCCTCCACCTCTTAAACACCCTCCTCTCAGCGCGCAGAAAAGCATATGTACACTAGAACCACGCGTGCGCTTCGCGTGCTTCTGAGTTGTCAGGCTGTTGGGAGAAGTGTCTGACATCGTCGAGCTTCGAACTTCGAAAGGGGACACATGAGCGCGGATCCAAACACCGAGCGCCATCGATATCACGCGCGAACCTGACAACAACACGTTTGCCTGTGATGAAATTACTAGTCTGGCTTCGGGAGCCCCTGAAAACAAATAAGGAATTGCACCCTTTCAGTGGGCCCGCTATGGCTATGCTAGTGCCATGAAATGGACAGGATTTGACAATGCGATCACAATGTTACTGCCAAGCTCTTGCCATGCAGCATGCCAACTGCATGGCAACTGCATGGCAGCTGCATGCATGGTACTAGCACGGCAGCGGCATCTCCATGGCATAACAACAGCATGGCAATAGCATGACAACTTCGTGGCAATTGACCAGCAGTGGCATTGCAATAGCATGACAATCGCATGGCAAATTAATGGCAATCGCATGACAATAGCATGGCAACTGCATGGCATTAGCATGGCAACTGCATGGCAATCGCATGGCCATAGCATGGCAACTGCATGGCAATCGCATGGCCACTGCATGGCAGTCGCACGGCAATCGAGTGGTAATAAAAAGGCACCTGCATGGCAATTGCATGGCAACTGCATGACACTCGCACGGAAATAGCATGACCATAACAGGGCAACTGTGTGGCAATAGCATGACACCGGCACCGAAATGGCATGACAATAGAATAGTAATAGCATGGCAACTACATGGCAACAGCATGGTAATGGCATGGCAACTGCATGGCCCATGGCAATCGCATGGAAATAGCATGGCAACTGCATGGCACTCGCAAGGCATTAACATGGCAATGCATGATGCTAGCATGGCAACTGCATGGCAATGGCATGGCAACAGCATGACAACTGCATGGCACATGCATGTCACTAACATGGCAACTGCATGGCACTAGCATGGCAACTGCATGGCAATAGCAAAGCAATATCACAGCAAGAGCATGACAATCGCATGGCAACATCATGGCAACTGCATGGCAACCGCATGGCACTGGCACGGCAATCGCATGGCAACTGCATGTCAATCGCATGGCCACTGTATGGAACTGCATGGCAATGACATGGCAATAGCATGACAGCTTCGTGGCAATTGACCAGCAGTGGCATTGCAATATCATGACAATCGCATGGCAAATTAATGGCAATCGCATGACAATAGCATGGCAACTGCATGGCATTCGCATGGCGCTGCATTGCCATCGGGTGGCAAAAGCATGGCAACTGCATGGCAATTACATGGCAACTGCATTGCAATCGGATGGCAATAGCAGGGCAACAGCATGGCAAAAAAATGGCATCTGCATGGCAATCGCGTGACAACAGCATGGCAACCGCATGGCAATCGCATGGCAATAGCATGGCAATCGCATGGCCATAAGACGACCATAGCATGGCACCTGCATGACAATCGCATGGCAATAGCATGACAACTGCATGGCGACCGCATGGCAATTGCATGGCACCTGCATGTCAATGGCATGGCAACAGCATTGCAACAGCATGGCAATACCACGACAAACTGCGTGGCAGCTGCATGGCAATAGCATGGCAACTGCATGGCAAGTAAACGCTCGCGAGAACAATTGGTTTCCTCGCAACTCGTTGCCTCCCTCTCCTTGCCTTTGGCTCAGGGCCGCTTGCGGCCTCTGCACCACTTTGTGGAGGTGGGCAGGCGGGGCCATATCACGCACCCGCTCACCTCCGGGCCGCCTGGCTTGGGCTCACTCCCCAGACCCTCCGCGCCACCTCCCACGAGACGCGGAGTTGGCGGCCCGGGCCCGAGCGGGCTCAGCTCGGCGCCGCCGCGCGGCGCCTTCGCGGCGAGGGGCGCCGCGGCGTCGAGGCGCCAGTCGGCGCGAAGGGCGCAGGAGGACAGGCCGGGCCCCCCCGGGCCCAGCCCAGCGCTGCCACGCGGCGCCTTCGTGGCGAGGGGCGCCGCGGCGGCGAGCAGCCGTGCAGCGCTGGAGGCTCCAGGAGGCGCAGCGAGTGAGGAGGATGAGGCCTGTCCACGGGCTGGAGTGCACCCTGGCCCTGGCCACGGGTGCGCTGGCAACGTGGCTCGACGTCTCTTTCGGAGTCAACTGGTACGCCACGGTCCACGCGTCCGCCACCATGCTCGGGCCCGAAGAGGAAGGAAATGAGCGGGCGGGGCCGGGCGACGAAGAAGAGGAGCAGCCCGACCAGCCTGACAACCAGGGCGAGGCCAGCTGCTCAGACGCGGGCGGAGATGAGCTGCCAGCGGTCGAAACGCCCGAGGGGCCACCTCTGACCGCGGCGCTCCCCGCACCTGCCGAGCCCCTGGCCACGGACCCGCCGCCAACCATGGCCGGTCTGGGCGTGCGCTCCGCCCGTAGCGGTCAGCGTTCCAGCGAGTACTACTACTACTACTACTACTACCACCACCACCACCACCACCACCACCACCACCACCACCACCACCACCACCACCACCACCACTACTACTACTACTACTACTACTACTACTACTACTACTACTACTACTACTACTACTACTACAACTACTACTACTACTACTACTACTACTATTACTACTACTACTACTACTACTACTACTACTACTACTACTACTACTACTACTACTACTACTACTACTACTACTACTACTACTACTACTACTACTACTACTACTACTACTACTACTACTACTACTACTACTACTACTACTACTACTACTACTACTACTACTACTACTACTACTACTACTACTACTACTACTACGACGCCGATGCCGCGCAGGCGGAGGCGAAGCCGCGTGAGGAGGCCAGCCCAGAGGGACCCCCCCACCGCCGCCGCCCGAGGAACCCCCGAGCGTGGGCAACACGACCAGGGAGGAGAAGGCTACCCAGGCCGCGCCGGGCCCTCCCCCCGACACTGCCGCATCAGCCTCGCCCGCCGGATTGGTTCGGGTCAGCGCGTGGGTGGAGATGGTGCTGAAGTGGATCGGCGAGAAGCTGGGCCATGCCCTGGGCGCCCTGCTTCATCAGCTGATCACCTTCCTCATAGGCTTGGTCGACGCGATGGGCAAGTAGCTCTTCGGCGAGAACTGGGTTTGACTACAGTGGGCAGCCATGGGACTCGAGGCCATGGTGGTGGCTACGGTGCTCGGGCCTGCGCTGGGTTTCATGGCATGGTTCGTGCGCGCGGTTTGGGCATGCACCTCGGTTCTCATCGGGGCGCCGAGGGGGTTCGCTGGTGGCAGCAAGACGGGGCACGACGTCATGGTGGCTCTGGACGGCGACCCCACGGCCGCGATTGTATGGCATGGGCCGAGCGAGGCGAAGGCGGTGGATGAGGACTACATCAGGAGTGAGATCCGAGCGCGTGGAGGAGGAGCCGAGAAGATGACGCCCAACAACCTCGTCGTCAAGTCTGGCGGCTCTGTTGCGCGGCTCGAGCAAGGGCCCCTCAGGGGCGGCCGCATCACTCGTCACGGGTGCGTCTAGAAGTTCAAGAACGCGAAGGGCAGCTCCCACCGCCATCTGAAGACCGACCTGGAGGCTACTAGGGACGACGAGGGTATCGGCCAGGTCTACCTGTGCGCGGCCTCCCCATGCAGCCTCCCCGAGGGCGACTGGCCGATGGTGCGCGTCAGCTCGTCGCGCGTGGCAGACCACAGCTCGCGAGTCAACGCGTCCGACCTGGCCGAGCTCACCCCAGCGGAACGGGCGGGGGCAGGAGGTCGAATGCGCTGCGCCTTGGGGTGCCGAGGGGCGGGACAAGCGCGCTGCAAGGCGTTCGGCTGCTGCGCGAATAGACGCTGAAAGCGCCCGAAACCCGGGCAGAAGCCAGGCAATATTGAGGAGGTGGACCCCAACTCGGGGACTGAATCGGAGCCCAGCATCGCCGTCTGCCAAGCCGACCAGATCGCGTAGATGACCAAGGCCAAGGGGGGGCACGCAGGTCCTGAGCGCCAAGTGCCGTCGGGATACCGCGAGGCAGGAACCCGTCTACCTGCTGGTCGAGGATGCGGCGATCTCGGATGCGCGCGATGCCCTGGAGGAGGGCGGCACGCGCACCTTCGGGGCCTGCCCGCGTCGCGCAGGCATCTACGAGAGTCACGAGAAGACTGTCGAGAAGGACGGCTTCTCCCTCTGCGCGGTCCACGCTGCAGGTCGAACGGCGGGCTGGCGCAGCCGCTCGGGCACGCCGCAACCGGAGGGGGATCGCCAGGCCAGCGCCCGCCGCTCAGACAGGAGGGGGGCCAGGAGGCCCGACGGCAGCCCTCCGGCACTGCGGCCAGGAGGGGAAGCCCGGCCGAGGCAGAGGCAGGATCGGCCTGGCTGGTCCACGCGCGAGACACTCTGGCGGACGCCGAGGCCGAGTGGGACGCAGACTGCAGCTTCCCCGCGCGCTTCGTCGGCCTCGCCAAGCACAGCGCGGACGACGCCCCGAGGGCAGCGAGGGGGCCGCGGGCCTGGGCTTGACCTTCTCCATCCCGGACAGTGCTTTCCCAGCGCCCAGGGCGGAGCTCCTCGGCGAGTTCGCGAGCGCCCAGCCCCCCGCCATCAGCTGGAAGTCGGGGGTGGCGATCAGGCTGTCCGACCACGGGGGCGGCGCCAACTTCCGGGGGGCAGCCGGAGCCCCGCGTCGGCTTTCGCACTCAACAGAGAGCGCAGCAGGCACTGCATGGCCAAGCGCACCAAGTCCAGGAGTCGCAGCGCCACTCCAACGAGGAGGGACACGCGGGGCAACTTCGACGCGAAGCTCAGGGGGGCGCAAGCGCAGGACGAGCAGCAGAGGGCGCACGACACGCGCATGGCGCTCATCTCGAGCTACCTCGGCAAGCGCGCAGAAGGCCAGACGGACGCTGGCGC